TTTATCAATATACAATTAGTCTTTGATATAAAGCTCGCTCTTAAACACATATGAGTGTCTCTGGATTTGTTTCTTAGTCAACCCGACTCACACAGTCTATGAAAACTGTACAAAGAGATAGTTCAAAAATATTATAAATAGATCAAGATGGAATTCTAAAAGAAAAGAATGTTCAAGAAGGTAAGTTGATTCTATACTTGACATTCTTAGGTAATACTGTAATTTAGAGCAAACAATGAGTTATGTTGTAAGCTATGTAAAAATTCAATGCTGGGTGAATTGAAATGATGAGATGGTTGAAATGACGTGTGAGGAGCAGTAGGCTAGAAATCAAGAGAGCTAGTTTTGGATTCATGAGAATTTAATATGAATTCATAAGTGAAATACTGAGTAAAAATTTAGTTACAACTTAGCTAATTGCCAATCTAATTGAAATCAAGGTGCATATTGCTTTCTATATAGCAAAGTAAGTAGCAGAGATTTAACTATTAAAACCCTAAGATTAAAGTCATAGAAATATTTTAATTAACTTTGATTTTTCAGTTTAATTTCAATTTAACAATTAAAGTTGCAAAGATAGGACAAAGTTCCCACGTCCCACATTCAGTTTCCCCCATTGTTAACATCTTCCATTACAATGGTACATTCATCCAAATGTGCTTTACACAATTGATGTATGTATGGATTGTGATAAGAGTTGTATGAGCCCCTAATAAAATGATTTTAAAAAAAACAAACAACAACAAAAAATGGTACATTCATCACAATTAATGAACCAATATTGACATTAGTTCTCTTGCCTTTAAAAAAAATGTTTTATGGTCATGGAGTGAACATTTTCAGAGCAGATCGATTTGCCATTCTACATTTGATACATATTGTATTTCATCTCACTGATGGTAATCCTCTCAATGTAGCCTCACATATCCCTCTTAGTCCCCGTGTCTCCTGTTTCCATTCTCCTTTCTCTCCTTCATTTTTCTGAACTTTGTCCTTAGGCAAGTGCCTTTCTTTTTCATCTCAAGTGATTCATTATTCTACGGTGTATTTCACTAGCGTTATTGTTCCCCTCATAAACCTAGCATGTGGCTGAACATGGAGCCATGAGGATGAGTTTCTTTCCAGACCTGTAGGGTAATTTAGGCCCTAGTCTCAAGGGTTCTGCCAGTCTCTATCCAACTCATAAGCCTGATCACTTGGTTTTGCTTTTTAATGGTAATTTTCTATTTTGTTCCTCACTTTTCTCCGACTCTATGCAGGACCTTCTAATGTGATCTTTTTTCAGAACAATTGGTAGTGGTGGCCTGGACTAATTGTTTCCATGTATCTTCAAATTTCGACACTTTCCTTTCATCTGGGCAGGGAGAGATCAGCGGTTGCACTTTAGATGGCTGCCCATGAGCTTTTTAAGACCCCAGTGACTACTCACCAAAGTAGTATGTAGAACATTGTCTCTGAACATTGTTATGTCAATTGGTATTGGTGTCCCTGAGACTGTGGCTCTGAGACTCCAACCCCAGATATCTGTTTTTTCATAACTTTCTCCTTAGATTCATTCACAACAAAGGTAAATTCACATATGCACATATACCCTGGAACCTATATATAGATGTTCATCGGTAGGTTCCCACTCTTGCTCCCACCTTGTTCAGCCTGTGTGTCTATCTAATCATTTACATGTAGACCACCATTATTGTAGAGTTGTGCATGTAACAGTATTTACTTCTATTACCTTTAACTCTTGCAAACCTCCCAGTTTCTTTAATTGCCTCACATATTCCCAACCTCCCTCTCATTGTACATTGCCTTCTCCTTCACCCAGATACTTATCTTGTCTGTACCCCCAAACTTCCCCTTCCTGTCTTTCCTTCCTACCCCTGGTAGCCATCGAAGAATGTTCCTTTAGATGGGAAAACCTTTTCTTGGCTATTTATGACAGTGATCTCATATGGCCAGTGGGTTTGAACTACCAACTTTGCAGTTAGCTGCCCAACACTTACTAGACAGTATTAGCTCACATTTATTAGAAACCAAAGCCTCTACAAAGCCCTCCTAGGATGAGAGTAGGACATGTTCTTATTGTCTTTGTCTAATTGGCCTCCTAGCTCTTCCACAAACACACAATGAATGAATTTGCCTTAAGGCCTTTCCACTTCAGTTTTCCCACTACTAGAATGCTCTCTCCCTATAACCTTGTGACTAATTCACAATAATGTCACCTTTCCAATGGAACCTTTTATCACCATAGACACACTCCCCAACTCCCTTCCTCTTTGATTCTTCTTTACACCACTTATCTCCACTTGATAAAGAGGGTAATACTATGTCTCTACAATCAGTGGACGCCTGCAGACAAGTTTTCTCAGTATTACTTGTCTCAATCTTCTTAGGGCTCCTTTGAAACAGGCTGGATCAGTTAAATGCATGACAGGGAGGTCAGCTCAGAAGATTATGGGGACGGGTTGGGGGGATTCCAAAAGGTTATCTTTAAAAAAAATTCTCTAAAGACAAAGAATGACCACAGGGGCTTATTGGGAGAAAATTTTAAGAAAATTTAATGGGTGGTAAAAAGGCCAGAAAAGTCGTCTGGAGGGATTTATTTTCCATCACAAACATGCACCTTTCCATTCTTCTAGGGTAGCAAGTAGTGGCCTACAAGCATTTCGCTGGGAAAGCTTACCTCATCGACTCAACATCCCCGATCTTTCTCCTTCAGAATTCCTTTTGTTCCCCAAACTCAATAAAGCATTTCAAAGTAGCATGATTTGAGTCCCTTGAAGATGTCAAACTGAGGATTTCATGTGGTATGAATCAAAGAAGGGTTAGGAGATGAAAACACTACCTTCAGATGGATATAGACCTAATACATGACCTAATACATGTGTGGTGTTTTAAGCCACCATGCTTGTGGTCATTTGGTCTGACAGCAGTAGGAAACTGTTATATAAGTAAAAAAGGATTGTTACAAAACCATGAAACCTTATCTAAAAATATCAAAATCTGAAGCTATTGCAATCCCAACAGTGTAACATGTATTGCTTTCACAGTTCTGTAGCTCAGAAGTTGGGTAGACTTAGATTTCCCTTCTCTGAGTCCCCACATAACAAAACCAAGTATCTGCTGGCCCACATTCTTCTCTGAAAGCTTAAAGAGATCATCTATTTCCAAGATGATTCAGGTTGTTGACCAGAATCAAGACGGAGGTCCCTATTTCTTTGCACATTGTCTACTAGTTTGTTCTCAGCATTTAGAAGGTGCCTGTACTTCATGACTCAAAGCCAAATCATCTTCAAAGGAAGCAAAGGAATGACACGAATAGATATATGCACACCCTGACTCACTGCAGCATTACTGACAACAGCAAAAACATGGAAACAACCTCATTGTTCATCAATGGAAGAATGGAAAAACTATGGTACATACACACACAATGGAACACTATGCAATGTTAAAGAATAACAATGAATCCATGAAATATCTTAGGATATGGATGAACCTGGAGCACATGATATTGAGTAAAGTAAGTCAGTTACAAAAGAATAAATATCATGTGAGACCACTGGATTAATCTAAGGTTATTGATTATTTACAGGCCACTTGGTTAGCTACCTTAGTTAACCTGTAAAGTCCCTATGTAAGGTAGCATGTTCACCCATGCAACACCAGGGAACAGAAACAAAAATCTACCCAGTGTATTTTCTTGTTTTGTTTATTGCCTCTCTCTTCCTTCTAGAATCTATAAGACAGAGTACTGCTTTGTATCCCAGAACTTAGCACACTGTCTGCCACATAGTAGACATACACATATTTGTTTAATGAATGAATGAACACTGGCTAATTAACCTAGACATTTGAATCTGGGTTCCAGCTATAGGGGAAGGCTCTTTCTGTCCATTTTGGTAGAGAATCCATATGGTACTCTTTTTTCTACTTTGTGTGCATAATCTGCTCTTTTTATATCTCAAAAGTGATGAGGTTTAAGACACACTCTACACCCTGTTAACATAACAGCGAAGATCTTATTTCAGGGGGACTCAATCACAAGGATCATTCTAGAAACCCCTCCCAGGGGGACAAATAATGGAAAGGTGGGGGAGGGGCAGATGATGTAAAATATGGAAAAAATAATCTATAACTTATCAAGGTTTGTGAGGGAGGGTGGGCAGGGGAGGGAGGGGGAAGAAATGGGGAGCTGATATCAGGGGCTCAAGTGGGAAGAGAATGCTTTGAAAATGATGATGGTGGCATATGTGCAAATGTGCTTGACACACTGGAGGAATGTATGGATTGTGATAAGAGATGTAGGAGCCCCCAATAAAAGTTTTTTTTTTTCCAATTTATTCCAACATAGGGAATCCAGGGCGGATGATCCCTTCAGGACAAGTGGTGAGCGGCGATACTAGGAGGGTGAAGGGAGGGTGGGTTGGAAAGGAGGAACCAATTACAAGGATCTACATATAACCTCCTCCCTGGGGGACAGACAACAGAAAAGTGGGTGAAGGGAGATGTTGGACAGGGCAAGATATGACAAAATAATAATTTATAAATTATCAAGGGGTAGGGAGGGAGTGGGGAGCGGGGAGGGAGGGAAAAAAATGAGGAGCTGATGCCAGGGGATTAGGTGGAGAGCAGATATTTTGAGAATGATGAGGGAAATGAATGTACCAATGTGCTTTACACAATTGATGTATGTATGGATTGTGATAAGAGTTGTATGAGCCCCTAATAAAAATTATTTAAAAACAAACAAACAAAGAAAAGGAAAAAAAATTATTCCACATGAGAGAGTACAGCTACAGGTACAGGGGTTAAGACTCTACCATGTTTCTTTTCTTGGGGGAGGTGGGGAAGAAGGGGGACATAATTTAATTCATAACAGGCCTTACTAGGTAAGAGAGACTGATAGTATGACAATGGGTACAGAGTGTGGTCATAGAATGAATGGCGTAAATCTAGTGGCCCGAGCAGACTTTGAAACACCATCATGTGCTACCTAGTTAAGTCTCTTCTGACTTCTCAGAACAAAGATAGTAGAGGGATAGTAGAGCTAGTAACAGAAATGTTTTAAGCATTGTTTGCTCCATAAAAAAGTTAAAAGCATAACCTGTACATACCAATTAGCCAATGAAAAATATTTAAACTCTTCAATCTTCTAGAAGTTTCTAAACACTCAGTTGCTTAACCATACGTAGACAGCCTTCCTAGGATCACAAGGAATCTGACTTGGTGCAAAAATTTGAAACACACACACAAGTAACAGAATTTCTGTTTGGGTTACAGTGTGGAAAGATCTCTGGAAACAAATTTATGTATTAGTTTTTCACTTTGCCACCAGATGTCCTTCATGAGTAGGAAAATATGATGGCCTGAAAGATATTTTGAAGTGTGAATGCCCAGCATTTTTGAATAGTTGACAGAGAAAGGAAAGTGTGAGTGAATGTACATGTTACCACAGTCTTGGATGAGATGCGTATTTTGAAGGCTGTCCTACAGGTGTAGCTTTAAGAAGCAATATTTATTTAACTCTTAAACTTTCATTTCTCATTTTTTGCAAGTAGTTACTTAACATATTTCTTTTTAGCTCAACTTCAAATTGGTATTTTTTTTAAATTTCGGCAAATTATTACATTAGAAATAATGTAATATTTTACATTACATTAAAATTACCTTTACCTTTACCTAAAATTACATTACCTTTAAAATTAAAGGTAAAATGGTAGGATTTGAAGTAGAACTTCCTTAGAACCCCAGGAGGCTGGCTTTGAAATACAGTAGCAACATGGCATTTTCCTGTTAAACTAACTCTCAACACCGCTGCTGACACTTGGGGAAAGTCCATAGTCAGGGGCAACAGAGATTTAGCATAAAATCAAAGGTGACAGTTTAGTGCTAATAATCTAATTGAAAGGAAATTTAAAGGACAGTATGTTTTACATATAGAACTCATTCACAGTATCTTAAAAAATCATTTTATTGGAAGCTCTTACAGATATCATAACATTCCATAACGAACAGTATCTTTAAATAGTAATTATTTTGCCATGCATATGTATTAAGAATGCTATAGCAGAAATCCTTGCAATATGCACATAAAGAACAAGGGTATTGCTGTTTTAAAAGGATTGTAATGATGTGTGTGTGCACTACACTCTGAATTAACAAACATTTAGGGATACGATACCCACTCCAGCCCAGCATCACTGAATGAATGCATGGGATAAATGTGCTCTTGGTGACAAGATTTCTTCAATTAGTAGGGCTAGAAGTGGGACAAGCAGCCTATTGCCAGAAAGCTTACAGCCATATGCATGAAATGTCAGCCAAGTCAACAGATGTTTGATATGGATTGGCTCCCACATCCGGCTTTTTGACCAAATTCCTCCTTTTCCACCCAGATGTGCTGGAGACAAGTACAGAGAACCTCATCAAGCTTGTCCAGGGTGCATAGACAGGGGCGCTAATATTTTTATGTCCTGCAGGGGGCAAAATTACCTTTGATTTTCTCTAGTGGGCTCTCCGCTACAGTTGAAGGTCAAACCTGAAAGAGTCCTCCTCCCCATCACTTGAGACCCAGCACCTGGTCTCACTCCCCTTCCAGAAACTTCTAAGGGTGGTTGGGGTGTCTGATTGGGAGGGGTCAGAGAAGCTGGGAGTGTGTGAGGAGGTGGTAAAGGGTTCCATTGCCTTTTACACTTGGAGATCAAGTGGTTCCAGTCTTATAGTTTCTAAAACCATGGAATTACATCTCTTTGCCACTCCCCTTCACTCCAATGGATACAATGTGTGGTTTTCTGGAAACACATGGCTATTTTGGCAGCTGTGGTAGTTAAGTTTATTGTGCCAACTAGGCCTCCATAGGAACATGTGGGCCGAGTTTAATCAGGTTGCAGCCTGATTGGAACACTACCGAGATAAATACTTTGCACGGCTGGCACCCCCTTTCTCTTCCTCCCTGGTGAGAACACACCCTTTCTTGTGACTTTAGGTTGAAGGTCACTGTCAATAGGATCATTCTCATGTCTCATTTCTCATATATATATTTTTTAACTTCCTCTGACTCTTAAGAGAGGCATCCAGGGAGGTACCACCTTGAACTAGCCCTACAACCCAACCAGATCCATTGCCATTACGTCGGTTCCAATTTACAGCATACCTATAGGACAAAGTGGAACTTCTCCATAGGGTTTCTGGAGACTGTAAAGCTTTACAAGAGCAGAGGGCCTTGACTCTCTCCCACAGAGTGACTGGAGAGTTGGAATGATTGACCTTGGGATTAGCAATCCAACACAACCCACCCATAACAGGGGGCTTCAAAAATGTGTGGGGCAATGGAATGAAAAGATAATGGACTACTTCCACAAACATTTTAAAGCGTCCTGTACAACAGAACCACCCATCACTTGCCTGTCAGTTTGTTCTATTGTAGCCTTGATGGCGTAGTGGTTTTGTGTTGGCCTGCTAAACCTCAAGGTCAAAACCATTTCTCCTTAGAAGCAAGAGGAGGATTTCTATTCCCATCAAGAGTTAGAGTCTTTGAAATCCACAAGGACACTTCTACCCTAAACTAAAGGGTTTCAATGAGTCAGAATAGATTAGATGGCAGTGAGTTTGGCTTTTTTTGAGTTTGAATGCTGTTATGATACTAGAAGCAACACCACTGATATTTCAAATGCTAGTAAGGTCACCTAGGGTCACATGTTTCAATGGCGTTTCCAGACTAAGACAGGAGAAGAAGAAAGGCTTCACGATCTAGAACATTGATCTAGTTTGAGAAGATGAGCCCCCCCCTTGCTTAGAATACTCAACATACACATTGGCTCCAATACTATACTCAAGCATGCCAGTGATGATGAAGACAGCACAGGATAGGGCCACATATAGTTCTGGTGTACATGGGGGTGAGTGATTTGGATGTGACTTGGTGACAACATAACATTCAACAAAAAATTATGGATCATCTTGGTGAAGGTGCTCAGGATTGCTGCGCAGATGCAAAATTGACAGCTAATCTCTAAGTACCACTTAAGATTCATGTTATTCAGGTGCATCTACCTCTAACCAAAGCAGAAAGGCAAAGAGAGTGTATGTATATTCTCTACTCGGTCTACTCTCACAGGTGTACATACAATATATAGATAACAATGTGATTTTGTGTTTTAAATGCTATATCCTCCCTTACATACCCTCACTTATGCTTTGTAAGTTTCCAGTGTGTTTTTTTGTACCCCTTTGGAACTTTGATGCTGCTTGTGTCTCACTAGATGTCTTATGAAGAAGGTTTGAAAGGGAGGGGGGCATGACTAGAAACCTAAATATACTTGTTTGGGTTCTGATTTTCTGGTCAGAACTCTTGATTGCTGTTGGCACCACTGGTCCTTCCAAGTCCCAGATAGAGGACGGAAGGCACCCTTGCACCTCAGACGACAGAATACCGCAGAGGGCTAGAATTGGCCTTCAGTGTTGCTGAGATTATACTGCCTGAGACCAATGATTCTTGGATGTTGGTAGAATTAAAGACTGTCCTAACTGATCATATGTTTGGGACAGGGCAGACCAAGAAAATTGTTTGAGATAAGATTTTGGTTCAACAGAGACTCCATGACCTCATAAATCCATTAATCTATAATATTTTGCTATTTGTTTCCTTGCTCCCAAATTCCTTTGACAATGTGCACTAAGGCTGCCAGATCTTATTTACTCTAATTCCCATGCATTTTTTTTCACTAGGTAAAAGATCCTACCAAATTTGGTTCCAGAAGTCACACATGACTGGACATTCTTGGATAGTGTACAGCTAGTGAATTTGTATCCTTACCGGCACATGTACTGCTGTTGCTGTTTGAGTAGAGGGGGCAGTGCTTTTGAATGAAAAGTTTGCTTGCTAGGAAAGTAAATTGTGTGCTACAATCTTGATCTTGTCCAGTGCTTGCAGAAACTATGTTTCAGGGTCCTACTAACTTGAATGGAAATCTGACCATTCCCAACTCTTTCTGGAAGGACCTCTACCACCTCTCCTGCGGTTTTACTTCTCACTGTGTAATCAGTATTGTATTTCAACATTAAAATGCATCCAAACATTTTCATGAAGGCATGAGGTGTGAGAAACTTAAATGTATCACTTTAAAAATGGTACTATCTGAGTACTTCCTCTGCCTTGTTGGGTGTAGCTTAAGCAGCCATACCAAAACTCAAACGGAGAGAGAAGACAAAACACCAGGTCAGCCCTGGCCCTTTAGGACAACATGGCCTGGCTTGGATTTCGTCCTCTCCTGAGGCTGGCTTGTGAGCTGCTGGCTTGAAGGAGGTCCGCGCCAGCCCTCATTTCCAGCGCCTTCTTTGAGAGGCACTGGCCCGCTAAGCGCTTCTATACATCAGGCAGAGAAACTAAAGGAATCCTACAGCTATCTTTTTCCTGTTTTCTCTCAAAGAATTCAAGCAATACTGACCTTGTGGCTGTTTCTGCTTTCTTGTTAACGCAACAACGTAGGCCTTTTAAGTGAAAGCAAACGAAAGAGGTTATTGAAGAGCTGATCAGATCATTTAAGCGGGAGGTCAGTTCTAGCTCCCCTCACCTCTCCGTTTTGGGGAACTCAGGCTCCTGAAGCGCCTCTAGTACTAGAAATCGACAAGCCTCACAGGCAACGCCCCTCTCGGAGGGAGAGTGAAAGAACGGGGCGGGCCTATGCAAATAGCAGCATAGATTAATCTCTCCATTGGCTGCACGTCCTGTCGGTGAACAAGTAAGGCGGGGCGTCTGTGGGCTGGAGTGCTGTACCTGAGCAAGAGGCGCACTAGAAAGCTCACGTTGGCCGCGGTGGAGAACGCAGCGCGGAGACGCAGGAGCCTGCGAATCTGGCGCCGACGCCGCGGCCACGGGTCCTCCCTCGCCACCCCTTGGCGTGCGGGGTTTGCCGAGAAGCGAGGTGAGAACTGAACGGAAAGCAAGATCCTCGCTGCCCC